ATAATATGCTAAGTGACACAGGGTGTGATAAGATGTGGCCAGACCAGTATGGAAGGGATTGCTGCAAGTGCTGTGTTGAGAAAGGCTGATCTGGATCATCACAAGGAAATGGAAAGAACAGGGATCAGAGGAGCAAGGAAACTTGTTGGTAGATCCTACTGGGAAGAAGAGGTGAGAGGGAAGAATTTCAGTCCTTTCCACAATCTCGTGCCTGGGAGACATGAAGAATGCTTTGACTCTTCAGGGTTTCTTCGTGATCCAGCCAGCCAGCAAACATTCATTGGTGCTACTGCATGAGGGTTGTGAATCTCATAAGAAGGAGCAATTTTTCACTTCCCTGAGGCTTTTTAAAAATATATTATTTTTAGTTGTAGTCGGACACAATATCTTTATTTATTTTTATATGGTGCTGAGGATCGAACCCATTGCCTCACACATGCAAGGCACGTGCTCTACCACTGAGCTATGGCCCCCAGTCCCTTCCCTGAGGCTTTCAATTGACTGAGTCCCCAACATGGTGATCTGTGCCAGACATAATGGGGGACAATAAAGACAATTCCTACCCAGCAGACACATGAGGGTAGGAAACAAGCATCAAAAGTAAATTCATGTGGCTCCTAGACAATGTTTGCTTCCCTCCTGATTTGCTGCTTCTTGATCTCCATTCTTCACAACCTAAAACAGAAGCTGAACCCCAAACAGACTTAATCTAGCCCAATGCCCTGGCACAGAGTAACCAGTATGAAAGAAAATTTACAAGCTTTTAGACTTAAATTAAGTAAATCACTCACTTTATCTTTCCTTAAATATTTCATTATATAACTGTACATATTCTCCTAGATCCCATATGTGCCTTAATTAATACTATTTAGGTGAACTTTGCAGGACATATCACCTCTCCAGATGTGCTAGATCCTACTTGGAGTTGATTAAAAAAAAAAAAAATTCTACCAAGAATTCATTTTATTCATTCATTCAACTGTTGCTGTTTGGAGGACTGAGCTTGTGAATGCAAGGGAAATGCCCCCCTACTGATAATTTAGTTGGAAGATTTTTACTACAATAAAGGAAGAGATAGGCTCAGTAGAATACCCTAAAGAACCTAAAATTGTCCAGGAAAAAAAAAAGGTGCAAAACAAAAGGATGGTTATTTGAACAAGAGTGAGGACTGCTGTTAGCAGGGGATTTCCACTTAATCTTTCTCTAAAGAATTCCAAAAGAAATCCTACTTTATCAGTCCTTTATCTATGCATTTCTCAATCTTCCCCTCCAAATAAAGCAAACTGGGTACAAATCTCTACACTCCAAGGCAGGAACAGGAACCATTCCCCATTCTGCCTAAAATATGTGATAAATTAACATTACTACAAGGAGTTGCCTCAAATAAATTCTCATTCTTCCTTTCTGCTCCTATACATCTTATGCATCTGGAATACCTTTAAATTCCGAAACATAAATCAAAGTACTTATTTTAACAAGGTTATTTTGCAGGATTAAATCAATTGAGTTGTTTATCCAATGGGGACCCATTTAATTAACATACTTAAAGAGATGCAAACTTAAGACTTAAAGTTTAAATATAAGTGTATAGACAGGGTCATGTTGGCAGTAGCAGTAGAAAAACATCTTACAAAATAGGGAACAATCAGATCATAACAATCAATAAATGGGCCAAGGAACTGAACAGACACTTCTCACAAGATGATAAACAATCAATCAACAAATACATGAAAAAATGTCCAACATCTTTACCAATTAGAGAAATGCAAATCAAAACTACATTAAGATTTCATCTCACTCTAGTCAGAATGGAAGCTAATAAGAATACAAACAACAATAAGTCTTGTCGAGGATGTGGGGGAAAAGGCATACTCATACACTGCTGGTGGGACTGCAAATTTGTGCAGCCAATCTAGAAAGCAGTATGAAGATTCCTTGGAAAATTTGGAATTGCACTACCATTTGACCCAGCTATCCCCCTCCTTGGTTTATACCCAAAGGACTTAAAAACAGCATACTACAATGATGCAGTCACATCAATGTTTATAAGCAGCACAATTTACAATAGCTAAATTATGGAACCAACCTAGATGCCCTTTTATAGATGAATGGACAAAGAAACTGTGGTATCTACAAACAATGGAATATTACTCAGCATTAAAAGAGAAAAAAAAATCATGATATTTGCAGGGAAATGGATGGAGTTGGAGAATATCATGCTAAGTGAAGTTAGCCAATCCCAAAAAACCCAAGACCAAATATTTTCTCTGACATGGGGATGCTGATCCATAATGGGGGTGGGGGATGGGAGAACATGGGAGGAATGGAGGAACTTTAGATAGGGCAAAGAGGAGGGAGGAGAAGAGAGGATGGGTATGGGGGTAGGAAAGAGGGTAGAATGAGATGGACATCATTACCCTAGGAACATGTATGAAGACACGAATGGTGTGACTCTACTTTGTGTACAGAGACATGAAAAATTGAGTTCTATATATGTTCTATGAATTGAAATGTATTCTGCTGTCATGTATAACAAATTAGAATAAATAAATTAATTTAAAATTTCCCGGATAGCTTTCTGGAATCTAACACTGATCTAATTTTTTTAGGAGAAGGGGCGTGGGTGTCACTATATTACAGATGAAAGATGTAGTCCCTGACCTCAAGAGTTTATAAGCAAATTAAGGAAGACATTATTTCAAGTGGCATAAATATTAGCAAATTTACAAAGTATCACATGAATATCTGCTAAGTCACATGGTACTGATACTAAAGGGTCACAGAAATGGGGGAAATTGGAGAAGGCTTCAAAGATAATGGAGGACTTCAGCTCAGGCTTGGAGGAAGGGAACAGTTTGAATTCATGGAAAGAAAAGACACTGGAAAAATAATTCAGCTTATTTTTTTTAGTTCTAACTTTGTGACCTCAAACAAGCCATTCATCATCTTTGCCCCTCAACCAATCTGCCGTTACTGAGGGCTTGCTATATATAAGGTATTATGCATCCCTTGAATAATGAGTAAGATTTTCCACTTTAAGAAACAGGGGAAAGTGGTTTAAGATTAAGCAGAGGCAAATCAAAACTAAAAATAACTCTAAGTTCACATGATGTAGGTATTATAAAACAAATGAAATCTGTTTTCTTAAAAAGAATTTTTAAAACTGGCTTCTACCATTTCACCATTTCACAAAAATAAACTCAGCATGCAACCTAAATTAACCACAGGTAGCTTTTTTACTATTCAGATCAACCATAGAGTGGGGAAAATTTGTTTTTCCCATTATACTTTCAAAATCATGATGCTTCTTTCTCACATTTGAAACCACAGTTGTCTTTTGCCACTAAAAACAGTACTCATTCGACAGCTGTGGAAATAGCCTGTGCTATTCAATAGCTAGTTTATGACAGGGCATTGGATTTATCTAGCAAAAACACAACATGTGTATCAGTACTTCCTTTTGCCCTGTGTATTCAAAATCTCTGCCAAAAATGAAAGAAAGTACAGATGGGCAGGATATCCTTCAGTTATTTGGTTTGCTTTATGTCATTCCAGAGAGAAATCTAGTGACCAATTCACAGTTAGAAATTAAAATTAAATATTTGACATGCCTTGGGTAGCAGGTCCTGGGGCTAAAAGGCTTGCCTTTCTCATCTGCAGTCTATCTGTCACTAGCAAGCTTGGAAGGCCTAAAACCTTTGTGTAAAGGGAAATGGGGATATCCTGGTTTTCCAGGATTCACGTACTATCTCCTCTATAGCTCTTTTTAAGATAAAGTGATTAAGGAGAAAAACATGCACATCATTTCCTAAAGACACTAACTGGAGCCAAGTACCTCAAAAATCTGTTTACATAAAATTACAAAACTTAACTAGAAAGTTAAGGTGGCATTTCAATGTTCTTGTCCACTTTGAAACAATGCTCAATGCACATGTATATGTATATTAAGCCACTGTACATGCAATACATTTCAGCAAATATTCCAGGGCACCTAGTAGTATGTGTTGTATATTGTGTTTGGTATGGAGACTATGTCCATTAGGTTTTTTTTTTTAATTTTTATTCTAATTTGTTATATATGAGAGCAGAATGCATTAAAATTCATATTACATATATAGAGTGCAATTTTCCATATTTCTGCTTATATACAAAGTATAGTCACACCATTTGTCTCTTCATATATGTACTTAGGGTAATGATGTCCATCTCATTCCACCATTTTTTTTTACCCCCTTGTCCCCTCCCTCCTCATCCCTCCCCTTTGCCCTATCTAGTCTATTAGCTTTTTTTGTGGAGCCAAACCACTTAAACTCTAAAAGCCTTGTTATGGTTTGGATATGAGGTGACCCCCCCAAAAGCTCCGGCAGGAATATGTTAATGCATGACTATTCAAAAGTAAAATGATCAGATATGAAAGCCATAACCTAATCAGTCCATCCTAGTTTGAATGGACTGACCAGGTGGTAACTGAGGCAGATGGGGCATGGCTAGAGGAGGTGGGTCACTGGGGGCATGCCCTAAGGGGGTTATCTTCCCCCTTCCCCTTTCTCTCTCTGCTTCTTGAACAGAGTAGCTTCCCTCCAACATGCCCTTCTGCCATGATGGTCTGCCTTACAGTGGGCTCAGAGTAATGCAACTGGCCCACCATGAACTAAACCTCTGAAATTGACAAAAATGAACTTTTCCTCCTATAAGTTGCCCTTCTTAGGTATCTTTTGGGGATTAATAATATTAATCATGAATGATTCAAGGTTGTTGTGGGGTTGGGATGGTGAAAGATGATCATAGCAAAAGGAGTTACATGTATAAATGCCCAGAGGTAACAGTGCTCAGGAAAAAACAAAGATCTAAAAGTAGGTCATTTCAGGGGAATGTATATGTGAAATATATAAACATACCATAAATTCATGCATTAAGCAGAGAAAAAGACATTTTGAGGAAAGGCAGAGCTTCGTCAGGGAAATAGGGTTGGGTGGCTGGTGAAGCAGGGAGAAGCCCACCTGTCAGAAGCAGCCTGTACTGAGGGATCCTCTGAACTGGCTTGAGCAGGTAGTGCTTGAGGGCCAGATTAGCACAACGTGGGCTCATCTGAAAGGAAGAGAAATCCAGAGTAAACACCATGTTGTCCAAGAAGCAAGAGACGCAGGTTCAAGAGCTCAGGAAGCCAAACTTGAAACAGCCAGCAACTGTGAAGGGGACTCAGAGATGCTCCCTTTCATGGTGAGGGACAGCTATTCACACTGTTCACAGCTATCATGCTGCAAGGGAAGCCACAGCCAGACTCACCACCAAGGCCCACCTCTCCTGAAGGAGATCTCTGAAACGCCTGCTCCCAGGGAACACTTATTCTTGGCTCTTTCACAGAACATGATGGCCACAGTCTGCATTCCCTACTCAGGAGTTCCCACACAGAGGGAAATTTGCCAATGTAGTTCTAATTACAAACCCCAAAGGACCAAGAAGGAAATGTTCAGCCCCCCAAATAAGGTGGCAGAAATAAAACCTCTGGGAATTGGACTCATGACAATCAGAGCCTTGGGGTCAATATGCTCATAACAACAACAGAGTGGTGGTAGGGAGACGCATAGAAATGAAAGATAACCCAAAGAGCAGACTTGGTAAGCATGCTTTCTCTTACAAGGCTGAGGATGCAAAAACCTTTTTCAGCTGGGCATATAGCTCAGTTGGTAGGGTGCTTG